ACCACCTCTGCAATGACCCGACTTCTGACCACAACCTCTTCTACTCCCAGCACCCAGCCTTGCATACTCGCACCGTCTCTGTCCCTGAATGTCTGTGTTTCCTCCCCTGCTTGGCTTAGATGGCACGGTCCCTCACTTATAGCCTTCTCTTTCCCACGTGCTAACTTTCCTTTCCACTGGCTGGCCAGCACACTAGCCCGGGAAACCCCCACATCTGACCATTCTCAGTTGGGTTCCCCAGGACGCCCAGAGCTCCCTCCTTCCCCAGCTAGCACTGTGCACCGCTCAGCAGCGCTTTTACATCTTTACTTCATACAGACGTTTCCCTTGGGAAGAATCGGAGGTGGGATGGGAGAGCAGGGGGAGCTAGTGGCAATAAAAGATGAATGCAAACGTGCAGGAGGGGGACACAGTTTGGAAATGTAGAAGAAAGGTAAGAGGTAGAAGGGACTGAGGGAGAGAGAGGTCACAGCAGGGGGAAGGATTGGAGGATGGTTGGCCAGTAAACAATATGTTTCCTTGTACCGAAGTTTTACATTTTCATGTAGATATTTTGCCTCAACCAGCATATATGTCCTTGAGTTTTGGAGTGAGGGCCTGAAGATGGTGGGAGATGCTGATGGATGAAGGCAGGATTGGTGATAAAAATCACTTTTCCTCCAGTGCAGGGTTTTTTTATGTGGACTTTCTGCTCACTGGATTGAGGGTGGTAACAGTTTTATACCTTTGACCAGGTTTAGAAGAGGAAGAATTATATAGTGTGCTGAGCCTCATATCCCTTTTGGAACGATAGAGACATGGCTGGTGGAGGAGTGGAGTGGAGTTGAAAATAAGAAATATATACCTTGGTGAACACGTGTTTTATTTCTAAGCACAAAGCCAGATACTATTAAGACTATGAAAAACTTGCCCGAGGCCATGAAGGACAAAAAGAAGACTCTTTGGCCTGGTGCCCTGGTCCCAGGGCCTTGCCATGGGAGTAGGCATGGGGGAGGCAGCAGCAAAAGACTCTAGCCTGTTGGGTGTGTGGGGGAGGCCAGTCTGCGATCCCCATCAGAGGGCCCAGCTCTCTGCTCCTTGGAGCCTCCCAGGACTGAGGACTGAGGTTACTCCAGGCCTTTGGCGTCACTGGCTCTCTGGCCTCGAGAGCCCCAGGAAAGGAATAGGGCTGGGATGAGGCAGACAGGAGTGGGTGGAAAGCATATACCTTGGTGAATATATACCTCAGGGCCCTAGTGCCCCGAGGAAGTCAACCAAAGGAAGTAGATAAGACCTCGCTTTCACGCTGAGAGCAGGTCAGTGACTCAGGGAATGATAATAATTCAGCTCTAAGTGCACTCTCACCTTCGCAGCCGTGGGCCACTGTTACAGGTAATCGTGCGTGGCACCCACCTGCAGACAGTGTGGCGGGCGGGCTAGCCCTACTTCAGTGGTTGTGAGAATCAGAAACACTGAGATGTACATACCACAGGGCCGAAGCGCAGCTTAAAGCCCTGCTGCTCCCAGAGGGGCCCGTGGACCAGCATGACCGGCATCATCTGGGAGCCTGTTAGAAATGCGGAATCTCAGGTCCCACCCCAGACCTACTCAACCAGAATCTTCACTGAAACAAGATCCCGACGTCACTCACACACACACACTAAACCAAGAAAACCTGCTCTGCTGCCCGTCACTGGCAGGGAGAGGCGTGCTGGGGAGGCCGGGAAGGGTTCTGTGTTTTGAGAGGAGTGGGTCCTGGGAGAGCTGAAAGCACTCACCTGCCTGGCAGCCCCATCCGAGCTATTTCTGGATCCGCAGGGGTGACTGCGGCTTCACCTCCACCTCTTCCAGGGGCTCTGCTGCCAGGGCGGGGAGTACGTCCTATGATCTCATTTTATAACGAGGCTTTGTGTGTGTGTGTGTGTGTGTGTGTGTGTGTGTGTGTGTGTGTTTTAATTTATGTGGATGACCTTGGTTAATAAAATTATATAGGTGTCAGGGGTACAATTCTGTAATACATCATTTGTTTATCGCATAGTGTGCTCACCACCCAAAGTCTAGTCTCCCTCCCTCACAATATATTTGACCCCCTTCACCCTCCCTCACCCCACTTTCCCTCTGGTAACCACCCTCCTGTTGTCTGTGTCTTTAAGGTTACTTGCGTTTAGATGTCACAATTTCTGTATCTCTGACATCTCTGACCGGGTCCTCAAACTTTTCTCGGATCTATTGTAGCCCATTAGACAATGTATCGGTCCTTTCTAAGAATCCACTTTTTAAAAATTTAATCCCATTAATGCTAGAATCTATTATAGCCTAAAGCAGTCTTAGAATCTTACATATAGAATTTGGATCTGCAGGGGTGACCTGATAGGAAAATATTTTTGTTCTTATTCGCTTTTAGTCTTTGGAGGGAAGATCTGTATTTTGGGAGAGATGAGAGGAGCGTCCTCGGAGATTGGGTGGCCAAAGTCAAAAGCTATCATACTCTCTCTGTGCAGGTCCTCTTGTCTGGGGTGCAAGGTTATGTCTCTTACGCACATGATCAGGGAGTTCTCATCACTGTGGGAGGACTTCATTCTGCTGTTAAGTGTGGGGAAGAGGATAAAATCCCTGCTAAAATCTTCCCTGATCAACACTTCCCTTACCTGAAAAGGAAAAAGAAGCACCTTGGCCGGTATGCCTCAGTGGTTAGCATGTCGTCCCCCACACTGAAGGGTTGCGGGTTCGATTCCCAGTCGGCATATGCCCAAGTTGAGGGTTCAGTCCCTGGTTGGGGCTCGTGTGTGAGGCAATGGATTGATGTTTCTCTCTCTCCCCTGTCTCTTCCTCTCTATCTGGAATCAATGAAAAACTTATCCTTGGGTGCAGATTAAAAACACACACCCGTCTCCCATTAAAAAAGAAAAGGAAAAGAAACAATAGGAGTTTATGAAGAAATTCTTTATCTCTTGCCAAGGGCCACAGGCCAGCTGAGCATCATCCACAAAGAGATTCATCCGAATAGAATGTGTTAAAGGGGACCAAGAGCAGTTTCCAAGAAGTTTCTTTATAATATTTCTTTTGCTAATAAGTAACCCATTTGCCCAGATGTAGGGCCTTTGGTTAATCATTACGTAGATTTTAGTAATTATCCCTTCTGCTAGGCACATAGCTCCTACAAGGTCATACTCTTTGCTCATTAGCTTGGGGCCCAGTGGTAAGTCCCCCCCTCTTCCCCAGGTCAGTCCCAGGAGAATTGGCTCAGCAGGGTACGTGGTCACTCTAGCGTAGCACGTGGCTAATCCTAAAATTGCCTCCATCCCGCCTCCAGCTGGGAAGCCCATGCTGTTCTGTGCCACACAGAAATCTTCCGTGGCCTGTCACAGGCACATGTCAGAGTTGCCACTTAGTGTTCAGTGCCCCTAAAATCATGTGTGAACTCTGAGTGGAACTCGGAGCTTACTTCTTCCACATAAATATTGTTTATCTTAAAAGATGAAAGAAAAATCATACCACAACTGTCTCCTATAGCATACCCTCTGGCGGAGCATATCAAATCATGTTCCCTTACATATCTCGAAACTACTGGAGTGGTTAATAAAACATGCTTGCTCTCAGTTTCTTGTGTCCCTCGGCCAGAATAGATAATAAGGGACTTACCCTCTTTATCACCCTCCTGTTTAAGGATCTTCGCTAACTTGGTCTATAGATGAAGGCACTTCCTTACAGCCATATCTTCATTAAAATTCTCCTTTATTTGTTAACCTCCATCCAGAGTGTTTCTAGTCTTTCTCCCAGTGTTTGTCTTACTTCTGCTGAGCTCTGTTCCTCTTGTGTTTTCTGGCCATCTCTGGCAGCCCACCTACTCTGCAGTTGATCATTTTGTACTCCCAGTGGATATGGGGAAAACGAAGTGCCGTGAAACCAGAGAGAGCTCGGGAGCGGTCTCTCTGTTTGGGACAAGGGAAGGCACCCAAGGAAGTGACATCCGAGTGGCCCGAGGGCAGAGGTTCAGCAGGTGTGAGAGGTGGTGAGAGGGTTTGGGAGCGAGACAACCCACGCAGAGAGAACTGCAGGTTTGCCAAGGACTTGTCAATAGCACCTGCTAGAAAAACAATTGCCTTACTTACTCAGACAGAGAATCAATTACAGTCATGTACGTACTATGCTAGGGATGTATTTCCCTACATCAGGGAGTGAGTGGTTTCATCTGGGGGATTGGAAATGTTTTCTTTTTAATAAATAGGCTTCAGTTTCCATGATGATGTCTGTTTTAACCAAATGATATAGACATAATCTATGTAATCTGCCACCTTGTTTTAACTGTGCTTTTTCCTGAAGAGGATTGGATAATGAGCCAGAAGTACTAAAACAAAAACAGGAGTTCATCATCCAGAAACGTATTTTCATTGTGCTTGATTGTCAAAATGTTTCTCATCTATTAAAAGAGGTGCTTATGCTTTCAAGAGGAACCAGGTGCAAAGAAAGTGAATGATCTCAATGGTCCGATGTATAGATTCATAAATAGCCATAGACAATTGGATAAAAGAATGTTAGATATTATTTGGCTTGTGTCTTTATATTATAGGTGAGGGATCTAGGGATGGGAGAAATTGGGCCAGTTGCCCAAAGTCACATGGTCACTGACCTAAGGGTCACAGCAAACCTTCCCCCAGCCTCCCCAGTCCTCACACCCCCTCCTCATTCCTTACTCAGAGGGAGCAGGGCACATAGACTGCAAAATCTCTCCTTCATAATGTTTTAGAGTCATCCCAACTGAAATGATCTCAGATTACTATTTAGGCTTTGAATTACGTAAAGGATTTGAACTGTTCGTTACTCAGATTCTAATGGGCAGTTCTTTATTTGGTAGAACATTTTGATCAAGGATTTTAAAGAAGGTATGACTAATAGATTCCACAATTCGGATTCCATCTACAAATAGTGTTAACCGTATAAACAAGCCTCTGGCTTTCTAAAACATAAGGTCAGAGTATGTTCTTTTATAGTTCTGACATGATTTCTTTTTTTTGCTTTAGGGTACTTTTGTCTTCGGTGACACTGCTGTCTATATATTCAATAAACCTTCTGTTGATCTGTTCAAAGGAAACAGGTAAGCTGCTCATAGGTCTACTTTTGTTAAAGCCAGGAGGAATGATTTTGATGGTGATGAAATTGTAAACAAATGATGCTCTTCCTGCTCAGAAACTTGATTATTAAAGAAAAAGAGTACTTCGGCCGACAGTCACTGGAAGACCTATAGTAGTATTTACACAGAGAAATAGATACAGCAACTATAAATTAAATTGTCATGAAGAGTGCACAATGGTGTTGTCATTTAAATAAACCCTCAATTATACCTCTTTTTTTTTTCTTCCTAGTTTAAGATGAGTTCATTTTAAAGGCTTTTGTTTTTCCCCAGGTCTTTATAAATTCAGAACAAGGATCCCATGCTTTTTATATTATAGCCTCCAAGTTCTAAAAGTAAACAGAGCTTTCATTCTCTTCCGTGCCTATTTCAAGGAGAAAATGTTACTCGCGAGGGACTATGGGAGTGAGTGTGCTAGGAAAAGATTTCAAGGACTCTGGGCAGTGTAATACCTGAAGTGTTTATTTTCTATTCCTGGGATAATGGGTTATGTTTGTAATACTTTGACTTTTGCATTAGCTAAAATTACATTGCCCGACTGTTATTGTATATAGACGACTCCATTTAACTGGAACATTCTGTAATAAATCGAGGGTCTAACCATTGTCTGGTTTAAACATCAGTCTTATGAGAGATTAAACAAAAGTTTAATTTAGCCTGACCCATATTACTTCTGTGAACCTTTTGAAAATGTCAGCTGAATTGTCATAAAGAAATAGAAACACTTTTTAAAAAATGGATGGCTTTGAATCTTAGTATTTATTGAGAAAGGCTAGTTGATTACTTTAGAATTTTGCTAGAGCCAAATTATTATTTAGGTAGACCTCTTAACTGCTCTCTTAGGTGAGTTGCTTATTTTTGAACTAAATTTTACAATCAGAATTCTGATGGTGTGACTATTACATGTTTCTGAACTTGTTATTATATGTAGAGTACATGAGACATTGAAGGAATATGATTAAGATAGTTCTTTGTTAACCTAAACATTCAGGTTATTAATTCAAAAAGAGCCTTTTATCCCAACTGTCAGGATTTTTATTTTTAAATCAAATCTTTATTTTAATGATATTCACCAGACCTGACAACACGTCCGAGTGGGGAATTCCCCAGTAAAGTAAAAGGACTATTTAAGGCAGTCAGAAAGAAGCCTTATGACCCAATGGTTGAATTGTAACGCTGTTGTAGCCAACCTGAGAAAGGAGAATTCGTGGTCATGTCTGACATTTAAAAATGTCAAGAGGTTGTTTTTTTATTTTTTTTTTTAATTTAAATTCTTTATTGCTTAAAGTATTACATAAGTCTCCCTTTTCCTCCATTGACCTCTCCTCAGCCACCCCCACCCTCCAAGCGAAATAAGCCAGTCAGAGAAAGATAAATATCACACGATCTCACTCATTTGTGGAATATAATGAACAACATAAACTGATGAACAAAAACAGTCAAAGAAACATCAGACTGTCCAACCTATGAGGGAAGGCGGGGGGGGGGGGGGGGGGGGGGGTGGCAGTGAAGGGGTAAGAGATCAACTACAGGACTGTATGCATGCATATGAGCATAACCAGTGGCCGAGGTTGTTTTACAACGAGAATGCCCTTAACCCTTGCAAAGTCAAGAAGGCCATTTGTGTGGCTTTGAGAAAGACATGAAATAACTTGGGGAATAGTCAGTAGCGTGATGAATCTTGGCTAGTTTTAACGTTTAGACCCCTGTCATTTCTTGTGTTCTCAAATATGATGTCTAAATAGGTTGCATGGTTTATGAAAAGCTGGGAGAGCAGGTCTTCGGCACCACGGGGAAGTTTGTCATCTTTGGAGCCACCTCTCTACAGAACACAGGAGGTAAAAACAAACACAAGCATGCTTTTATACTTAACTTTAAAGTAGGTGGCCCTGCTGGCGTGGCTCAGTGGTGGAGTGTCAGTCTATGAGCCAGAAGGTCACGGTTTAATTTCTAGTCAGGGCACATGTCCAAGTTGTGGGCTCAGTCCCCAGTGTGGTGCGTGCAGGAGGCAGCTAATCAATGACTCTCGCACCATTGATATTTCTCTCTCTCCCTCACCTTTCCTCTCTCTGAAATCAGTAAAAATATATTTAAAAAAAATAAAGTAGGTAAACTTTATTATGTTTTCTAATTCTGGTGGGTGGGTGGTCACATGAATTTTAACATAATTCAAGAAGTTATCATTCCCATTGCTAAAAGGCAACATGGAAAGTAAAGTGGAGACAGCAGTCACTTATTTAAAACCAAGGAAACTGTGAGAGTATCTAACGCTGCCTTTGTGTCTTACTGAAGGTTACTCTAAGAGCAGGCTGGTAACCTTTTATATGGCTTGCAACATGAACCGCAGTATCTTCTTTCTAAAATGTCCTCATTTTCCTCTAGCAATGCTGAGCTACCTCTTCATAGTCAAAAATGAACTACCCTCTGCCATAAAGTTTCTAATGGGAAAGGAAGAGACATTCTCGTAAGTCATAGACCCTTTTTTTTTGTAAGGTAATTAAAATGTTTTTAATCGAAATGTGGGCTAACCAAAGTTTTTGTTTTATGAAAATTGCCAAAACAAAGTTTTCCCCAGGCTGTTTTTTCTGTTTGTTGTTTCTCTGGAGTTATCTAAGTAAAAGAAGCAGAGAGAACCCCTTGAATATGAGCATTTCCAAGGCAGATTCATCGGTCAGGCTGCAAAACGGTAGATGCTGCATTTTCTCAAGAGCCTAAAATCTATGTCTAGTTTCTGTGAAATGGAACAGATACAGAGTATTTTTTAACACAGATGTAGAACATGCAAAAAAAAAAAAAATTGAGACCCTTTTTTAAAAGAAGGGACATAGCATTTTGGAAGCAAAACTTACATGAGCCACCTTCGTTAAAGATGTGGTTAACACTGGAAAATGTTGCAGCCACATTTGGTACAGCCGTTATGTTTTGACTCTCTATTGTTTTACTGTCCTTGTGGGTCTTCGTTTCTGTTTTCTTTCAAGGGAGAATCATCGAAGCCATAGCCCTAGTGTTCTATAATCAGGATTTAAGGTCCAATGCAAGAGATAAGGGAGAGAGCCTGTGGTGACTTGTTTTTCGAGGATATTAGGCAAGCAAAACAAAAAGGAACTTTCTCTTTAAATAATTGATGAAACAAGTTGTAATCTGACAGAATGCAATGTGTGCATTCAGCTTTGAAGCCACGTAAATAATTCAAAGGAATGCCACATTGGCCAATAGAGCAGGGAAAGAAAACAATATCCCTTCTTCTGTCACACGGGGGAAAGACAGCAGTAAAGGAGTAGTGGTTGCGTTAAAGTGTTTGGATAAAACCTGAATAATGATAAAATTTAATAACAATTAAAATATTAGTAAAAATTTTCTAAGGAAATATGGCCTCCCCGCTGATATGTCTTTCAGAGCCTGGTACGTGGATGGCCGTGTCCTGGTGGTGATTGTCACCTTCAGCATAATTCTCCCTCTGTGTCTCCTGAAGAACTTAGGTAAGGAAAGATCTTGCTTTTATTGTAGTCTCTACAGTGCCCAGATAAATCAGAAACCTAGTAAAATGAGCAACTTTGCCCTCAACTTTCACTTATACAGTAAAAATTAAGTAAATGATAAATTATAAGTATTAATCAGTCTCAACTTTAATATGGGATATAACTGTGGCTCAGTTGGTTGGGCGTCATCCTGTGCACCAAAAAGTTGCCAGGTCGATTCCTGATCAGGGCACATGCCTGGGCTGTGGGCTCAGTCCCTGATAGAAAGTGTGCAGGAGGCAGCCGATTGAGTTTTCACTCTCTGATATCTCTCTCTCTCTCTCTCTCCCCCCACCCCTTCTCCCTTCCTCTCTCTCTAAAATTAATAAAAAGGCTTTTAAAAGCAAAACAAAACACTGGTCAGTATGTGACTTCCTAAGCAATCATTCTAGGGAGCTATGGGGGCCGGCAACAGGCAGTGCATATTTCCAGTAGCACAAACTTACAGGCTATTCTGAGAAAAGTAAAAAAAAAAAAAAATGGAATTCTCCTGATTATTTAGACAATTTGATTTTTAAAAAATCTAATATCAAGACCAAAAGTTGCTTCTATTTATTCCCCAGAGTATAGTGAATTACTCTTAAATGATCAAAGTCTAACCAACCTCAGTTATTTGCCTCATTACAGAGAGAGAGAAAAGTGAAAGGTCGAAAGTGGAAAACAACCACTGGGCCATATCCATTTGGTTCTGACTTCTCTAGGTGTGCTTATCATCAGAGACAAGTGTGTCTGATGTTATGGGAGTTTCACACATCGAATGATGTGGAAGCACTGCCGGCCAGTCCAAACCTTCTAAAATGCATTTCCTTTCATTCTGGGCTAATTCCAGGCAGACATTTAAAGTTCTTCCCAAAATGATTGCTAACCGTGGTTTTTTTGTTTTGTTTTGTATGAAAAATATCCAGCCTCTGTAGCTGTTCTGTAAGATCTATAAGTAGACGTTAAACACACACACACACACACACACACACACACACACACACACACACACAAAAACTACTTAATGTTCTGGTTTCTGGGTCTGTGTTTAGGCTTTTGTATGTATATATACACATAAGTCTTTTCAGTTTAAGTAGAGAAGGGCCCTTCTCCCCCAGAGATGAGAATAGTGCAGCCCCCAGAGGCCACTTCACTCTGCCTCTCTGGAGGTTACGGTGGTTGGAGATCTGCCAGACATTCTAAGGGGAGCAAGGTGAAGGTCCTCAGATGCTCAGTTTATCCCTAGAAATCGCTCCCTCTCCTCTGTGCATGCCTCTCATTTGGGAAGAGAAGGATTGTGGCTGATGGCATTATGTATACAACAAGTGCATAATAAAGAGGAATGGATTTGGCCATAGGTATCCATCAGCGTACAGCAGCAGAATTCCATGACTAAGTTTGGGAGGCTGTTTTCCCCTGGATTCTGGGAAGCTGTTCTCCAGTGTGTCAGGGAGAACTGGAATCAAAACTCATAATAATGTTTTTACTTAAAGTCACATTTTTGCCAAATCAAGTAGCACTATCAAAGAGTAAATCTTACATTCACATTGGCATGTCTATATACATTTGAACCCCAAACTGTGCTGGAGAAAATGCATTACCTTGGCTGGGGTGGCTCTGTTGGTAGAGTATCGTCCCGTGCACAGGAAGGATGCCTGTTCACAGGTTGCAGGTTCAGTCCCCAGTCAGAGCACATATAGGACGCAACCGATTGATGTTTCTCTTGCACATTGATGTTTCTCTCTCTCTCTCTCTCTCTCTCTCTCTCTCTCTCTCTCTCTCCCTCCCTCTCTCTCTCTCCCTCCCTCCCTTCCTCTCTCTCTAAAAGCAATAAAAACATATTTTTTAAAAAGTCATTGAAAGAAATAAGGTGATGGATGAAATAGTAATTTTAATTTTTTAAAACTTTTTTTAGGGTACCTTGGCTATACTAGTGGATTTTCCTTGAGCTGTATGGTTTTTTTCCTAATAGTGGTAAGTGTTGGTTGGAATGGTTGGTTTGGTTTTGCCATAGTACAATGCTATGTAACCATTATTCCTTAGTTGGCTCTATTTGATATAAAGTCTATATTGTTTCTCCTATTTTTTTTAAATATCAGGTTATCTACAAGAAATTTCAGATTCCCTGCATTGTTCCAGGGCTAAATGCAACAAGTGCTAATTCAACAAATGCTGACATGTGTACGCCAAAATACGTTACCTTCAATTCAAAGGTAAGTTTCCTTAGCCTTTAAATATAAAAAAGAGCATTTTTATTAATGGCATTATATTTCTTATTCTTGTAGTAAGTAAAGTGTTTTAAATGCATTCAATTTCAAAAGGACACAGTCCCCTGCTTCCAAATTCCACAAGCCATTTAGAGACCTTTGAGAAATATACAAATACTCGTAGCCCATCGCGCAATATCACGCACAGTAGGCCACCCACCGCTTCCTCAGGAGCCGGGGGGATCCGCAGCGTGCCCCGGGAACCGCGCTGCTTCCACGGGAGCTGTGCGGCTTCCACGGGAGGCAGAAGCAAGCTGCCGGCGCCCACGGGAGCTGCGCCGCTTCCGCGGGAGGCGGGAGGGACCCGCGCTGCTTCCGTAGGAGGCAGGCCCGCCGTCTCCTCTCTGGGCCTGCGCTCGGCTGCGGAGCATCCCTGTTCGTGTCTGCTCTGGCTCCAGGGGGCTGGCGCAAGCCGGACGCGGCAACAAAGCAAGCATTGCGCCAGGCTGCTCATGCTGCCCACTCTCAGTGGCCACGCTCCGCCCCCCCCCGCGTCCCCGGGACTGGGGGACTCTGGTGGGGCTGAGAGGACTGGGCACTGCCATCTTTGTGGTGGAGTGATGGTTAATTTGCATATTGCCCTTTTTTTAGATAGGATTCTGTTTCATGCTTCCTCTTTTTTTTTTTTTTTAATATGTTTTCTTTATTTATGTCAGAGAGGAAGGGAGAGGGAAAGAGAGATAGAAACATCAATGATGATAATTATTGATCGGCTGCCTCCTGCACGCCCCCTACTGGGGACCGAACCTGGGAACCTTCAGTCCACAGGCAGAAGCTCTATCCACTGAGCCAAGCCGGCTAGGGCTTCATGCTCCCTCTTAACCCAGTTTACATGTAGGACAACGTTAAGCATTCTCTGTGAAAATGTCTTTCTCAATGATTGCCTCAGCCCTTTCCTATAGATCTATAAAAAATAGATTGACAACATCCTCAGCCCACTGCTTCCTATCTGGTGGTGACTAATAGAAATGCCTCCAACTTCCCCAGCTTTCGCATTTGAAATACACATGCCACCCCAAGTTGGAACTGACGAAACCGTCCTACTGTGCGATATTGTTAATAGTATAGGGAGCAGTGGACTGTGGGACTGTCAGGCTTGGACTTGAGCCCTCAAGCAAGTTACCCAACCCCACATGTAAAAATAAGTATTCTATTCTGTATCTTACCGGGTTTTTGTTGCTGTTTTTGTGTTTGTTTGTTTGTTTTTAAGAATGAGGTGGGTTCAGTGCTTGGGCAAAATTAGAGGATGACAAATGCTACCTTTCCTTCCAGTTTTTTTTGCATAAGAAGTTATGTTGAGCCTGGCCGGCATGGCTCAGTGGTTGAGCATTGACTAGGAATTAGGAGGTCACGGTTCAATTCCCTGTCAGGGCACATGCCCACGTTGTAGGCTCAATCCCCAGTGTGGGCCGTGCAGAAGGCAGCTAATCAATGATTCTCTCTTCAATTATGTTTCTATCTCTCTCTCTCTCTCTCTCTCTCCCTCTCCCTTCCTCTCTGAAATCAATAAAAATATATTTTTTTAAAAAAACAAGTTATGTTGAGTTTGAAAGTTTTAAAAAGTCATATCTAAGAAAATAGATCTGTCTCTCTATCGCTGTCTGCCTCTCTTTTAACTCTAAGAATGAAGCCAAAGTAGTGAATGTGGAACTATTTTTCTTTTTTAGAAGCCACCTTTTAAGTCTGTTTAGATGCAGCCTACATATATAGCAACGAGCATAGAGGTGGAAGTCCTGGGCATGTCACCTGACCTGCTGGAGGGGGTCAAAAACAGCAGTGGCCTGCCTACTGCTCAGGCTGTTGTAGATCTCCGAGAGATAATGTAGGAAAAGTGCAATGTAACTGGTTAGCGCCATGTAAAAATGGGTTATGCTATGTCTGGAGGATGTAAAATACACTGCAGGTGAGCTGTGTCTCAAACCTCTCTGAGCCAAGTGCCTAATGTCTCAAGCTAGATAAACTCTCTTTGGAAAGCTGTTCCTATTTTAGATATCAAAGCCCTCCTAATAACCAAATAATCCAGGGATTCTGAAGAGCTGTCAGATAAAACTACAGCTCAGAAATACTCGAGCTGAATAATTTTATGATAAAAATACCTTTTTTTAATTTTTTTTTCTTTCAAATAGACCGTGTATGCTCTACCTACTATTGCATTTGCATTTGTCTGCCATCCATCAGTCCTGCCAATCTACAGCGAGCTTAAAGAGTAAGAGGTTTTTTTTTTACCTTGATCATTTTATAACCCCTCATTAACACGCAAGCCCTGTATTAAAATAAACAGACTCATGTAATGAACCCCACGGACTCATCACCCAGTTTTAACATTTACTTTCTGCCATGCTTGAGCAAGTTCTGCATTTTAAGAAAGAAAAAACAAAACAGGAAGAAAAACCAGAAACCTGCAATATATTTTGGATGTAAATATAGAAAGTGGTACACTCTGTAGGCTTCTTTTTGTTAAACTGGTTTTTCAAATACTGTATTACTTAGGAGAGTTCAAGTATTTGGGTTGCTTTATGTTACTTATATTTCCTTGGCAGGTAGAATATAATGATCTTCAGATTCAATATCTGTAAACTGCTAAACACATGATATCTGATTTGCCTGTTGATTTAGATGGAAAAGGCTGGTAAATCAGGCGGAAAAAAATTAATGCCAAGACCACAAACTAGACAAAAGAATTCTGTCGGTCATTTTAAATGATTAAGATGATTCTGTGGATTCGATTTTGATTGCTCTTCTAGAGAAAACTAAAGGCCTACTTATACATTGCCTCATTGGTTCTCTTTTTAGCTTACCGTTTATATAAATGACTTTATATAAAAAGTCATTGTGGTATACTCTTAAGCTCAGAAAAGATATACAATATAGTTATTTTGTATATTCAAAATATACCATTTTGAAACAAAAATAAAGTGGATGTCACTTAGCATTGGATTCACTCATGATTCTTCCTCTTTCCCATTTAATCGATATAGGTAAATTTTGAAATACTTACATTTACCGATATCAGTGCTAACTTTATGATCCTGTATTTAGGGTATTTAAATTTGTCTTTGGCATCTTTTCAATTTTATAGCTCAGCTTTTAGTCTGTAATTTTCTCGTGTGTACATCTCAGTTTTTCTTGTCTTCCATACTCCCTGTTATGACACAGCCAAATATGAGTATTGGTAGTCTCTTATTGAGAGCAAGCCTTGTAGACTAATTATTCAGGCAGTTAAAGCAACTTAAGGTGCATTCAAACTCTCAGAGTAAACTTGACCTAAGAGACAGCCCTTCATCATCACCTTCTGTGATCGTTTGGGTGCTTAGTGCTGTGGAGACACGCAGACTTCTAGGTGCTCCTCTGGGGCTGCTCAGTGGGAAAGCTGGAACCTAATAACAGCATTAGCGACAGAACACCTGAGGCCACGTTCCTGCTCTGCCTTTCTCTGCTGTGAATGCTCACTGTGGAGAAAATAGCAAACACAAGTATTAAAAAAATACTCTCTGCCCTTCAGATGAGAACTCGATGTTCTTTCCCAAGAATGGGTAAGAGCACTCAAGGAATGGTTAGTTCCCTGGGTCTCTCTCTCATTCAATACCCTTCGGTATAAAAGAAGTTATTCTAAACCGGCATAATTGCCTGGGGTAATTTCAGTTGGTCAGATCTGTTCTACCCTGATAGAAAGTGAAGTTCCTGTAAACACTTTTAACACTGGTCTTTAAATTCAGTAACATGGTTTTTAATTTTTCAAATTCTTTTATCTTTGTTTTTAGTCGATCACAAAAAAGGATGCAGATGGTTTCAAATATCTCCTTTTTTGCCATGTTTGTTATGTACTTCTTGACCGCCATTTTTGGCTACTTGACATTCTATGGTAAGTAACTTCTGTCAGTACATAAATGTAGGTCATTGTAAGTATATTCGTAAAAATCATCATCAAAACAACTTCTAATGTGATAGTTAAAAAAAGCAACACATCTGTCCATTGATTGTGCTGTCTCTTCTACGTAAAGCAAATGGCACTGGCTGCTTTCCATATTCACGCAGACTGTACAATAGAATAATTACCGAAACAATACACTGTAATGTTTTTCAACTAATACTGGCCTTAAAAGGAAGAGCATTTTATAAGCATACCACCTGCACTGAGGAAAGTGAAAACTATATCAGAGAATTTCCTAATTGCTGCTGCGAATGGGGTCAGATTCTGTTAATAGAGACACAGAGACAGATGCTGAACGGGAGAAAGAGCCGAGTGCCACACTCACAACACCTCACATTAATTAAAAATAAAGTGCCTACTTTTTCACCGGAGGTTGGAGCCTTGCAAGGAGGTGAAGGGATGACATAGAAAGTTTTAAAGGGACTGAAATCCGAGGTGCAGCCAGAAGCCCTGGAAAGGAGACATGAAGCCAGCACTTTTCACTCTCAGTCGCTGCCATGCTAGCTAGCTTTGGTTGTCTTTGAAATAACATTTCCTGAGGTTCAGAGTTGAGAAAAGTCCAAGGTGGTACATAAGCAAAATGCTCTCTTTTTTAAAAAAATAAGAAAAACATGCATGGAAGAGAAGAATTATTTCTTTTGTTTGCTTGTTTTTCTTTTGTTTTGTTTTGTTTCTTTGTAGAAAACCAAGCAAGAATTTATTGACCACAGCAAAAAATATTCTTAGGAGAGTGAAACAGGGCATAGAAGAAGCAACAGGAGAGCCTGGGCGGGGCTGCCGTGGCTCACTGGGAAGTCAGAGAAAAGGGGCCCTGGAGACAGGTTCAGGGGGTGAGCTTTGGACAAGTTGCCGCTGCCCATTGCTGGCCTGGTTGCAAGTCTCGCGGGGTCCCTTAGAGGTTAAGGGGATACATGCTGGGGGGAGGGGGGAAGAGGAGAGGGGGAAAAAGAAAAGGGTAAGAGAATGGCTTGGGTGTGCCCCCTGGAGGGGAGAGTGCTGAGAAGAATTTTTTCTTTTCTTTTTTTTTAAGAATTATTTCTTGATGTGATTAAGTCCCATTGGCACCCCTGCTGCTTGGCCACTGAAAGTTGAGCAGTAAGAGGAAAGTTTGAAAGAGGCTCAGAGTGGCCTGCAGTCCACCTATCCACTCAGCAGGACTAACTATTCTGCGTTGTTGGATGTGGCACCAAATGGGAGAAAATCTAAATTAAGAATAGCTTTGCCCTAACTGGTTTGGCTCAGTGGATAGAGCGTCGGTCTGAGGACTGAAGGGTCCTAGGTTTGATTCCGGTCAAGGGCATGTACCTTGGTTGCGGGCACATCCACAGTAGGAGGTGTGCAGGAGGCAGCTGATCGATGATTCTCTCTCATCGATGTTTCTAACTCTCTATCCCTCTCCCTTCCTCTCTGTAAAAAATCAATAAAATATATTTAAAAAAGAATAGCTTTGTGCTTCAACCTGTGCTATTTTTTAAAATATATTTTTTTATTGATTTCAGAGAGGAAGGGAGAAAGAGAGAGTTAGAAACATCATGATGAGAGAGAATCATTGATTGGCTGCCTCCTGCATGCCCCCACTAGGGATCGAGCCCGCAAGCTAAGCATGTGCCCTTGGCCGGAATTGAACCTGGGACCCTTCGGTCCGCAGGCTGATGCTCTATAACTGAGCCAAGCCAGCTAGGGCAACCTGTGCTATTTTTAATCCCAATTTACTCCTAGGATTAATTTAGTGTAAATTAAATGTAGCCACTCTGTGTAGCTTCTTCTCATGATTAGCATAAATTCCTTAAGTTAAAGTTACGATGGAAAGGGGGAGCCTGCCTCACACCAGGCATTTCTCTTCTCAACTCCATACACTGTTTTAACCGACAGCCCAGATCATTGCTTTCCTTGCCCATCAGTTGATACATTCGTTGTTGTTCCGGAAAGCTGTCATTCAGGGGTGTGCTTTGTTTCCTTTCCCTGCCCTCTTTCCCTCGCTTTAGAAAACGTCCAGTCGGACCTCCTTCACAAGTACCAGAGCAAAGATGACGTCCTCATCCTGACGGTGCGCGTGGCTGTCATCGTGGCGGTCATCCTCACGGTGCCGGTGTTATTTTTCACGGTGAGTAAAGCCTCGATGTCACCTGAGAAGTGCTGAGGTCTCACCTTTCCTTCTGTCTCAGGAGCCCGTCCCAGAGAAAGCCTGTTGCAGGTAGCTGTCCTGTGTCACTGAAACTGCCTCAGGGAAGGAGCCCAAGACTCTGTGGAGATTCTGCAGGAAGAAAGTGGGATCAGTGATATTGGGTAGACTCTGGTGGAAGGAATCTTCATTCTAATTGATCTGTCCCTCTTTTTTTTATAGAGAAATGCAGGTAGCATGGTTGAATCTCAATCATACACAATCAGGGGATGTAGAAGGACCAGGAGAGAACCCTTAGCCATAGAGAAAACAAAAACAGAAATTATTCCCCTTGAAAGAAAACAATCTACCATTGCCAGGCCGGCGTGGCTCAGTGGTTGAGCATCGACTCATGAACCAGGAGGTCACTGTTCGATTCCTGGTCAGGGCATCTGCCTGGGTTGCGGGCTCGATCCCCTGTAGGGGGTAATGCAGGAGGCAGCCGATCAGAGATTCTCATCATTGATGTTTCTATCCCTCTCCCTTCCTCTCTCTCTAAAATCAATAAAAAACATATTTTAAAAAAGAAAACAATCTATAATAATAAAAGCAAAATATGCTAATTAGACCAGATGTCCTTCTGGATGACCTTGTGGACAAAGCCAAGGCTGTGAGGGAAGCCCAGGTCCCTGGTGCCTGCTGGTGGCCGGAGGGAAGCCTGGGTCCCAGGTGTCAGAGGGAAGCCAGGCGGCTGGGGGAAGGAAGGCCTACTCTTGCATGAATTTCATGCATCAGGCCTCTAGTCTATCCTATATAATAAAGAGGTAATATGCAAATTAACCCTCATGCCCTCACAAGATGGCTGCCTACGATCAAGCCGGCAGGGGGGTTAGTGAGGGACGACCAAATGACTGAACAGCAGGTTGCATGGGGCGACCAGGCTGGCAGGGCAGGGCAGTTAGGGGCGACCAGGCTAGCAGAGGGGGGCAGTTGGGGGCGACCAGGCCGGCATCGGGGGCAACTGGGGGCAATTAGGCTGGCTGGGGAGGCAGTGAGGGGCAACTAGGCCAGCGGGGGGGGCAGGAGGAGTTGGGGTGACCAGGCCAGCAGGGGCAGCAGTTAGGGGTGACCAGGCAGGCAGGCAGGTGAGTGATTAGGAGCCAGAGGTCCAGGATTGTGAGAGGGATGTCCAACTGCCGGCAGCCAGACATCCCCCAAGGGGTCCTGGATTGGAGAGGGTACAGGCTGTGCTAAAGGCACCTCCCCCACCACCCCCCGCTGCCGCCTGAATTTCGCACACCGGGCCTCTAGTTTATAAATAAAAACACATTTCCACCTTAAATCAAGCCCCCCTGCTTCCCAAACTGTTGTGCTATCTATAAATTACAGAACATTTCACAAATCCCTGTGCAGCGATATGTCAGTTGCTGCTGAGAGCGTGAGTTTGGCAAGTGCAGGCCCTTATGGAGTCTTTGCTTTCTTTTCCCACAGGTTCGTTCGTCTTTATTTGAACTGGCTAAGAAAACAAAGTTTAATCTGTGTCGTCACATCTTCGTGACCATCATACTCTTGGTCATTATCAACTTGTTGGTGATCTTCATACCCTCCATGAAGGATATCTTTGGGGTCGTAGGTATGGCTTTAGGACTTCACACTGATTCTGCAGCAGCTAGTTAAGAAGCTGAAATTTCACAGTAGCAACTTCAAACTTTTTTTTTTCTTATTTTACAGGAGTTACATCTGCTAATATGCTTATTTTCATTCTTCCTTCATCTCTTTATTTAAAAATCACAAATCAGGATGAAGATAAAGGAACTCAAAGAATTTGGGTAAGTCTTATGCCAGCCACCCCAATTTTTCTGATCAGTTTTTTGTATAAATGTACCAAATAAATAGTCCATCTCTGCCATCTAAGACTACTTTTAGCAGCCTCAAAGGGAGGCAGCAGTTCTGTAGTTTTCCCCTTTGGGAGATTTAAAATACTGTATCTCATCAGAATCCTCTCTATTTCCTCCCAATAGCTTTGGAGGCGTTAATCTTGCTGTGCCTTCGCGCTTGCTCTGAGCTGCGGCAGGGCCAGCTGCGAGACTGGGTGTTTGTCGTCCTGTCTCTGTGAGGTGATGCCCTACCTTTAGCTCAGGGAACATGTGATGCTTCCTTTAAATGGCTGAGTTAGCGTAAAGAGTCTTTTTATGATTTGACAGAAATGCTTTGGAGCAACAGACCTGGATTCAGAAACTACCTTTCTATATTGGGATTCTTGTTTCCAGGTCTGGTGAAGTTCAAGGGCATCTTCAAGGTGGTGCACTTGGAGACAGTGAGGGAAGCAGGGTGAAGTGGCTGCTGCCTGGGTACCTTCTGGAGCACCATTTTGTTTGGCCTCGGAGAAGGCTTCTCCGCTGCCCTCCCAGATAGTGTAAGACTCCAATCGCACATATTGCCTGAGTCCACAGACCCGGTTAAGAGGCGGAGGCAGGCGGGATCATCCTTGCGCACTGATGCTTGTAGAGCATCTTCTGCCCCCACAGGATGACCCCAGAAGCCATAAATCCCATACCCTTCGAATCCTTACCAGTAGTTGCTTCACAAGGTCAGAGAGGAAGGAGCCATCACTCTGGCACAGCAGTAAAATAGACTAAGATCCGAAAATGGTAGAGGCCTGTTGCCCAGGAATTCTCTGGGCTTCCCCAACCCAGCTCCCATAATAAAATGGTAGTAGGAACTACTGAATAGCGTTAGACAAGGGCTCCTGTCCGTTTGAGGACCCCCTGGGAGTTAGACCAGACCCATGGTGGTGAGCCCATGTGGATCCCTCGGAACCCCACCCCTCGCCTCCCCTCCTGCCCTTAGCCCTTCCTCCAGGCTCCAGGGCAGCCCCCATGGCTCTCAGGATGCTCCATCCTTCTCTCCGTGGAGCTTTCATTGGATAGTCTCAAGGCCACTGAATTTATAATCTGTGTTCTCCAGATTCTGTATTTAATGATCTGTCCGTCTGTGGCCTTCATGACCCCTTGAAGTAATTTAGATGTTTTCTTTTTCTTTTTCTTTTTTACCTTCAGTATTCTTTTGTATTAGTTTCACGTGTACAGCATAGTGGTTAGACACTCACATACTTTACAAAGTGGTCCCCCCTGATATTTCCAGTGCCCACATGGCCCCGTACATAGTTATTACTGAAGTCACTTAGTTTCTGACACTGTTTCCTATATCACTTAATCAAATTTACTTTGCTTTTATATCTTTTTCCACATTTCAAACAGAAATGTTTGCCTACCAGCGATAACCTAGGTTGGTTGGTAAAGAGAGATGAAAGGACCTGTATGTTTTCCAAAGCCATTTTTTTTTAAGTCATAATCTTAGTCGGAAAGAAGCTGTAAGGATGGCTGGTCGGCTGTAGAGGAACAAGCATGCCAGACAATCTTTCTCTACTGTCCTCTGACCCACACAGTGCACAAGTGCTGAGCCTCTCCAGTGTGGCTTACAAGGTTAAAAACCGAATCTCAGAGCAAATGCATCCAGTTCAAAACACAGAGCGTAGAGGAGGCTCTGTGTAGTTTGTTCTTACGTTCCCAGCCTTGGAGAATCAGATTCGCACACAGTTTCAGAAAGATTCTCACAGTTCCACAGTGGTTGTCACCAACTCCTAAAACATGGGTCCGCAAGGAGAGGGAAAGCGTGGGTGTTTATTTCTGAGGTGCCTGTGGGAAGTGTTTGCTTCACTGAAATAACCCATGCCTTTCTGTTGCTGCAGGCTGCCCTCTTCTTGGGCCTGGGGGTGTTGTTCTCCCTGGTCAGCATTCCCTTGGTCATCTACGACTGGGCCTGCTCGTCAGGGAGTGACGAAGGCCACTGAGGCCAGCTGGGAAGCATCAACACTCCCGTGAGCTGCTCAAGTCACCAACCACACATCAGCAACCCTCATCACTTCCTTTGCAAGTTTACAGAAGCAAACAGAAATGTACAGGATACTTCAAATGGAATCCCACTTTGGTCGCAAAACAGAAACCTGTTTCTATACCGGTTCGTGTCCCTCCAAGATCTGGGATCAATTTAAGGATCATGGATTTCCCCCCCACTTCAAATTTCACGGAATCATATTTCCTAGTACTTTCCACAGTCGGTTATTTTTCATTCTCCTCACTCATTTTTTTGTGACTTCATGGTCTCTTAGAACTTTGAAAACATGATCATCAATCATGTTTATTTATTATAGATCCAGATTCTGAAATAATTTTCCTACTGATGTGCAGCTCACACTATCTGTATCTTTTTAGAAGAGAAAATAATCTTGAATTGTATATATTTATTTTGCTTTACAGAAGAAAAAAAGGTTTCGTAAATAATTTGCCTATTTGGGTTAACATAGCACACAGGGATCATCGTTGGGGAGTCGCGGGGTGCGTGCATTGCAGGGTCCGAGCACGCCCTGGGTTTGAGGTGGCTCTGATCTCCCGCAGGCAGACCAGTGGCCTCCCGGGTACTACGTCCACTTCATACAAAGACATTCCCTGGTGAAGTGTTCTCTCCGCTGGGAAGGGGTGGAAATGATTCTTACCTTGGTAAACACATTAAACTACACATGTGGGGAATCTAGCAAATTAACTTTTGTTTCCCTCTTGGCAACTTGTGTCAAAGTTACTCTGACCTGAGTTAATTTCTACTGGGGAAGCCCCATAACACCTTTACAATAAATTGAGGAGCAAGAATACTGCAAAAAGATTGTCCAAAATGCCCAAGAGAATATTCCTCTGATGCAGATCGCCTTCAACCCTACACTGGATTGTTGGAGGGAGAAACGTTTTCTTATTAGTAAATGATAACCCCAGAAGCTTTTCCTCATGTCCACCAGCTTTTTGCACAGGGAATAAGGTGTATCTAACCAAGGATGATCTAAGTAATTCCTGTTTTATATTGGGTACTTTAGGGGGAGGGAGGGTGTCTTTAAAAGACTTGTTTTATATCTATAAATTTAGGTTATTATAAATACAAGATTTTTGTATCTTAAATAAGCCTCATTCCTATTTCTTCTCCATTAACAATCCATCCAGAGTGTTAGAAAGAGAGCCCTCAGAGATAGTCTTTGAGGAGAACTTGTGACAAAAATCATGGAGTACCTTCCTTTCCCCCATGAGGACCTCGATGTCCCCGCTGTTCCTCCTTGCTGCTAGCTGAGGCTGGGCCATTCCTGCTTGCCCGCCCCCCGTACCCCACACAGGGTAGAGCTGCCCTGCACTCATACCCGAGCCCCTCTTCTAAAGGGAGCAGAAGGAAGCTGCAGAGACTGAGAAAGGAGAGAGTTTGGGACAGGTAGTTTGGAAAGTAATGAAGACCAGAACTCCAGAACTGCATTACCCCTAAGCTGGGCCATCACCTGTGGTTGGATTGTCCATGTCACAGCCAGAAATGTGTGTGCTCCGTGCACTGGTCTCTTGACAGAGGCCTTGTGTTTTCATCTAGATTCTGGCTGAATGTCTCCAACAGAAGTTCACCGAGCACAGATTTCTTATCCTGTGATAAGTAGACTCTAGCCACAGACTCTTGGCAAGGCTTCCAGGCACTGAGCTCTGGCTTCTGTTCCTCCCCCATTCATACCCCAGAAGCCTCCACACTCCCTGGGAGCTCCCTGGAATGGTATCCTTCCTCCCCCCACCCCCCAGACCTCTGTCCCATGGAAGAGGCACCGTGTTCCGGTCCTCTTTGGGGAGAAGGAAAAGGTCATCATAGCTTTAATGTAATGTTCCAGAATCACATTCACATGAGGTCAGAGTTCAGGCACTTAGCCACGAATGCCTAACCCAGTAATATGGAAGACACTGCAGAAAAGGATGTCTTAGGTGAGCAGGGGGAGAAACAGCAAAACAAGTCAAGTCAGTTGGCCCTCAGAGGCTTGTCTAGAGCACCAGGTAATGAAATACCAGATAGTGGGATGGCCCTCCATTGAAACAAAATATTCCAGCCATATTTTGCTACTTTCTATTTTCCTCATTAATTTACAATTCATCTTATACTCCCAAAGTCCATTTAGAAATTTATCATTAACTCTTGGGGGGGGGGAAGGATGTGTAATGATATTTTTGGATCTCTGGATTTTGTGTCAGTAAAGGAATAATTATTATTTAAAATATATTTATTTAGAGGAGGCACATTAGTGTAGATGTCTAGGATACCACAAGTTTTTAAAATATTCTTTGTATGTTTATCTAAGTTGACTGAATACAATAGACCCTACTGTAGTTTGTCAAATATCATGGATTACACCATTTGTGTGGGATTAGCTGTAAAGTATACTGCTGTTAATCTTGTTCAGAATAGTGAACTGGTAGCCAAAAATACATGTATCACAGATGTTAGCTAGAATTTAAACAGCGCAGTCCAAGTACTATAGAAGTTCTTCTGCTAAATTAGTAGACTAAAGAATATTATACCTTAAGCCACTGGGAGCAGCACCTTTTCCTTTGGTAGCCAGATCTCAGGACTGGTGAACAGTGCCAGTTTAATACTTTGGATTTACAACTGTTCGCTGGTTATTGCAATACAGACTAATGTGAACCCCTGATTTCCTTAATGCTACTTAACGGAAGTGGGGGTAGTAAAGTGTGCACAGGAAAGAAATGTAATCTTGTTAAGCAGAGGCAGTCCAATTTATAAGCTGATCATATTGTGAAACTTTCAGTTGATTATTTGCAACCTGAAATGTATTTCCTGTTACAAACGGGGCTATACATGGTGGTTAGGCCCCCAGACCAGCTAGAAAAGATGATTAAACCCACAGTTTAGCTGACATTGGATAATATAACAAGATTGTTAAAGAACCTAACCACTAAACATAATATTGTTTCTAGGGGTATTTGTTCAGAGTTGCCAAGAATATGTCATTCCTGTTGTTAGTGGATTCTGGGTTGCCCGGCGCAGCGACACATACCTGCTGGATGACGGGCATAGGGGCACCACCATCTGAAGGTGACCAGAGTGGCCTGAAGCAGGGTCTCCAGCAGAGGATGGGGAGAGCAAGCCCAGGGCCACCAGAGAACCCAGTGTAGGCAGAGTGAGAAGGAGGATGAGGGGCCTCTTGTGAGTTGTAAACCACAGGGACCTTCCTCAGCTGATACCTTCTTTTCTCTGGAGGTCACAGGTTTGGCCTGTCTGCTTGTATGATAGGACCCTGTGCTCCTATAGTTCATCTCCTTTCCTGCTCACTGCACACACACAAAAGAATGTTGTTGCATAGCCTCTTCCACATGCCAGTCAGTCATTGGAACCAGCATACAGCACTTGTAATGGGTTCGGTGATAGAAAATCGTGTTTCCACTGCCCAGTTATCAGCTGGGGGTGGAAAAGCTTTCTGCCACTTTCCTTTTTCTACATTTGCACATCCTGTAGAGAAAGGCTCACCTGGGTGATGTAATGGTTACAGGCTTGGGGTGGACAAAGGACTATGGTAGGATTCCCTGGTGTTTCAGAGGACAGCACAGACAGTTACCCCAGAATGGATGTTTTCCTGGAGATGGACTCAAGCCTCTAGGCCAGTGGTTCTAAAGTGTGGCCCCCAGAGCAGCAGCACCTGGAACTTGTTGGAACGCAAGCTCTCAGGCCTCACCCAGGACCCAGTGAAAGCGGAAGCTGGGGAGTTGGAGGAGCTAACAAGCCCTCCTGGGGGTCACAGTAGCACTGAGCCAGTTAACTCCCCTTTGTTCTCCCATTAGTCCCACCCAGAGGAGAGTTCAGAGGACTCCCGGGACCAGAAATGGGAAGCAGGACTTGGGGCAGGAACTGGCCCCAGCCCGGGTGCCTCCTCCCCTCCCACTGGCACGGCTGCTGCAGGTGCTCAGTTGTATGGAGGCTGCTTGCACTTTATATAACTTTGGGCTGAGGCATAACGAGGACACATTTTTAATGCTGTGAAAAGAGTGAGGTGTTACTGTGTTGTTGTGGTGGTTTTTGTTGTTTTGTTTTTTTTTTTCATTTGTTTGGTGTGTGTTTTTCAGGGGAGTTGAAAGAACAGACTCTTTGTAAACGCAGCCTTAGAGGAATTACTGAGTTCACGCCAGGAGTAAATTCTGCAGAATGTTGGGTTGTTGGGTGGTGATCCATCCTGTCCTCTTGTCAAAGTGAATTCCTTGCTGAGAGGTCTGCACTGAACATGGAGCTGCAAACTGCTTTGAAAAGAATGCAGCGCTCAGTGTATCAGAAGGCTGGGCAGCACCGCTGAGTGGGGTGGGGAGGAGGTCAGTGATGTGATCAGATATTTTATGCCTTAAAGCAAAAGCCATTAGTTCCTCTCAGTTTGTCAATATAAACAGCTTGAGGCTTAGAAAGAGCATAAGGATATAATTCCTCCATTCCAGTTCATAGTAAACTTCCAGCCACTTTCAAAACAAAGGAGATACGGACTCTAGCATTTAGCAATGCTAACAACTGATTTCCTTAGGGATGGCAGATCTGAGAAGCCTTTAGCAACAGAACATATGTCTTTTAAAATACAGTTTATTATTTATGATATCAGGCTTTCAGGTACAACTTGGGGGTAGGTTGGCTAACAGCTAAAAATGTATCACCGTATCTAAAAGGGAACGTTTTCAGAAAATACGTAAAATTCACAAGGCTTAGGCATTCTCTTTTTGGGTTTTCTCAGAGAAAGGGCTGTGAAACTGGGCCCATCTGTGTACAGGCTTGAATTTGTGTGTTTAAAGAAGTATCTATGCAGCTGAGGCTTATTGTAGGAAATACTTCATTTGTAAATATCCTGTAAATATATAGGAGGCTGTATATTTTTGCAGTTGTTGACTCACACTGAAATAGAAGTCTCTATCGTCTGCATATCAAGAATAAAAGTTTTCATAGATATTAGTGGGGTTTGGGGGGAATTAGAAAAATTTACATTCTCTGACAGGTAACATAGTGCTCTCAATGTAAACTTGGAATCTAAAAATCTTACTTAATTGTTTAGAAAGAGAAGTGTCGAAGAAATAGTAGTGTTGATTTCATTAAGATCAATCATTTAAAAGATATTAAGGTCAATTATTTAAAAGCTAGTCCTCTGAGCTACAACTAAGGAATATTAGACCTAAATTATTATCTATAGAAATAGATATACCCAAAATGACACACTATTTTTTTCATAACACTCTTTCACTCTCAACACTGATACTACTGCACAGTATTTATAAAAAGAAGTTGGAAAGGAGAATGTTTTTATTTTTTTCAAAATTGAATTGCTGCATTTCCCAAACTTTGGGATCTTGGAAAAGGGGAAAGAATCTGAATATTAACTAGGAGCACAAATTTGAAGGAGGGGAAAAAAACACACACATTACTTTATCAAGCTTTTGAAAGTCTTGCATGTTTGCCTTATATTTTCAGTATTGACCCCAAGGCTATCTTAAGTCATCTTTTCCCCAAACATGTCAATCTTCATCATTGGGATGTAATCCTCTCTCGAGTCCAGTGTATTTCAGACTTCATCTAAGTCCAGTACATGCAGCACACCACTCTTTTATTAATGTAAAAACCTTGTAAATGAATTTTAGAGCAATGACTTAAGTGAGTCACAAGTCACCAAACTGCTATTCATGCTTAATCAAATAGAGGGTTTTCCCCCCCCCAGGAGGTGGTGTAAATAAAGAAATGTAAGAGGTTCTGTTCTATAACTGTTCTATTAACATGGTTTTTAAACATTAAAAACATGAACTAAAAGTATTTATGAATTTTGTGTTTATTTTGGGGGGATGCTGTACTAAAAGAGGGGGCCGTTGGAGTACTTACTACACACACTATTCAGAGTTCTTGGGGACAGATTTGCACACATTTGTCAGCATTCTGGAACACTGGAAGCTTATATTTAAAATATACTTCTGATAGTGATCTATCTGGTCTGAAATATATTACATATTTCTCCATAATCAGAGTAGGTTGACAATTACATTGTAAACTCATGCTCATATTTACGTATCATGCTTTGTGCTATTTTGTAGGAGGGACTCCTGTCTTCCTCTACCCGCATGAAAGCCAACCATAAAACAGGAAATTCTACCCCCATTGCTATTTACCCAGGAACCATTGAGGAGAAAGCTCCTGCAGCCTGGCCTTTCCTGGTCCATCACTGGCTCCACCCCGTGATCTTAGGAAAGTTTTATCAGACCAGCAAGATGGCCAGAGTCTGCTATCCAGAGTCCCCCTGTGGACAGTCAGTGCATGAACAACCGGGCCTTTGTGGTGTGACGGAGTGTGCGGCCCGTCTTGGCTCTCCCTGAGCTGCCCAGGGAGATGGCCCATTCCGCAGGGCTACATTGGTGCATACATGGATCTCCGGTGGAAATTTGGGGCACAGGAATCCAAGGTGTGTACTCTAAGCGTCATTAGCAATACAGCTGGTATTTTTTATCCTTATGTGCCTCCTGTTTGTATTTCCTAATTGACCAAAACTCCAGGGCCGAAGGGTGCAATTATCACTTTCAAACCCAAGCAATTGTCAAAGTGCATCCATCCAAAAGGCTACTGCGGGCTTTGCTCTAAGTCAAAGGCCCCCAGTCCTGCTGTGCTTTTGGTGGCTCTTATTTCTCCCACTATGGCTCCATGAGTGTCTGCTAATACTGTTCTACTCGGCCCTGTTTTACACATAATTGGGTAGGGTTCTCCTCCTCCCCTATGAGACAAACTAGGGACTTACAACTTTGCATTTCTATTACTTCTAGACTTATAATTGTGTTCTGCCTGGTTAGGATAGTCGGAGGGGTGGATGAGGCCCAAATAATGAGGTCAATTTTTTGTATACCAACTTTCTACCTTTCATTAGTTTAAATTTTGGACTAATCCAAATTGGCAGGACAATCTGTTATTTTTCAGTAAGGTCAGTGCAATGTCAAAATAACCTGTCAAATTATCAAAGTGTATAGCACTTAGATTGATACAGATGTGGAAATAAAAAAAAAAAAGAACATAATAGAGAACACATACATAAAGGATCCAAAGAACACCAGAAAAGTGATCTTTCCAAGTCAACAGGGAAAATAAGGGCTACTCAGTGAATGGTGAAAAATGACTAGCTTTTTGAAGGAAATAAAGTTAGATCCCTGTATAGTCCCTTATATCCAGAGAGAGTTCAAACATATTAAAGATGTTAATCACGACACATAGGTAAATATATATATATTTTTTACAAATGTAAAGCTATTACTTTCATACAAAGTCATCATTAGTCAAAAGTTTAATTTAGTTAATTATTAATGAAGGAACAAGTAAGATGTTTAAAAATGGTTCAAAGGAGAATTCAAAGAACAGGCACATATATGAGCAATCAGGGATGTGAAATGAATTTGCTAATAGATGTCCCCTGGCCTGCCTCACAGCAGGTAATTAATTGCATCTCACCAGACAGACTCCATTTCCTTCTCTGGGCGATAATAATTTCTATCTCCATCATTTTTCTACAATTTACAGAATTATAAAATAACTCAAAAGCAAACAAACAAACAAAAAAGGGTAGGGGTGGGGAGTAGCAGATAACCCAGAAAGGACACCTAGTATTGCGGAGAAAATACACCCAGTAACCTTTTAGGCCTTTCAAAATGTTTTCCATCCTCCCTCCCCGCCCCCCTTCGTGATATAAAGTCTCTAAGATTATTCTCAGTCATAAAAAAAAAAATTTTTTTTAAAGACTGATGTCATTAGGTCTGGCCTGATTATTTGCATAAGCTCAACAAGTTTTAACTAACTTATAGGCTTCCTTGGGTATTTAAAAAAATATACTGGTAGAAATAAAAGTTCTTGTTGAACCTATGCAAATAATAATATTGCTGTAAGGAAACAAAGATTTTTAATTGGAGGGGGCGGTAAAGGGAAATTCAGTGAGGAGCAGGAAAAAAAATGTTTAACTTCACTTTACAAATGTAGAGTCCACTGAATTGTAGATTAAAGACAGCTTAAGAAGAAAGAGAAATGACCTCCTATACATCCAGAAAATAGAGCATTAAAACAGCCTCAACACAACCACAGTAAATTTCCTTCATCCGCACATTCCCCCTGTGCAGTTCCGTTTTGCTGGATCTTGGGTTAGCATTCTGCTTTCATAACATTGCCTGGACTAAGAAGAGTCTTGTGAGTCTACCCTCACTCCACAAGTACAGCCTGAAAGCTGCCTAAGTAATGTCAGCTCAGAAGCTTGTACCAAGGCTCTATTCTTTGAAATGTCAGTAGTTTAATGTACTTTGCACAGTCCTTTTCCATGAGAATCTGGGGCTGTGTGTCTTTGCTAAAGAACCAGAATTTGGCCCGGCCAGTGTGGCTCAGTGGTTGAGCGTCGACCAATGAACCAGGAGGCAACAGTTTGATTCCCAGTCAGGGCACATGCCTGGGTTTCAGTCTCAACCCCCAGTCGGGGTGTGCAGGAGGCAGCCGATCAGTGATTCTCTCTCATCGTTGGTGTTTCTATCTCTCTTTCTTCCTCTCCCTTCCTCTCTGAAATCAATAAAAATATATTTTAAAAAAACAACAAAATTTGGCCTGAAGCTTATAGCATAGCCTCAGCCAAGTTTCAGGAAGCAGAAACTTACTTAATAATAATAAAACTGACAGGCTGTGGTTAACTTATTCTGGTAATTAATGGTTACTGGAATACATTCTATCCATTCTCTCATACACGTGCATTCTATCCTAGGTCTCTTTCCAGATAACCTGGAAGTGCTGTGCAGTATTCCACTGAAACGTCGCCCAGGAACCTTCTTTGCCCATTTCAAAGTCTCTCACAATTTTCCTGTGATTCTCTGTATACCTATATCTTACATATATACTCTCTTGGAGAAGGGGAGGCCTTTCTTGGTATAAAACACATGAGTCACAAAGGAAGTAACTGATCAATAAATATTTCAAAACTCCATGACTTACAAAAGTGCCAAAATGCAAATAAATAAATAAATAAATAAATAAATAAATAAATAAATCCAAAACTCCTAGAAGAAACAAAACTAACATTTGCCACTTATACGTTGCAAATGGTATGACCTGACTCTCAAGTTTGGGGTCAAAATTATTCAAAGTATTCCTGCGTCGAATTACTAAGATGTCCAACTCCAAATTGCCCATGAACCCTTGGGGCATGTGACTGCAGAGGTGCCTGCTTCCGAACTGCAGGCAAAGAGGACCAACTGGTGAGTGTAAGCAGCCCACAGCGGGCTTCTCGCCCCGCGCAGTGAAGCGCCTGTGGTGCCCGCTGCGCAGTGTCCCTGATGAACTCTGCACAATGCGTTCCATCTGTGTCTCCTGCTGCAGTCCTGCCCGCCCAGGCCCACGACTCTATGACTGAAGTGAAGGAGGGAAAATGACCCTCAGCCACGCAGTGCTGTGGTGGCTGTCACCTTAGGACCCCAAGCGAGGAATAAGTTCTCGCTGCAAGTTTGCTCCCAACGCATGCCCTCCAGGCGGTCTGGCTCAGAAAGGACTCCAATGACAGCTGCACGCTGGGTCAGAGACAACTCTCTCGCTTTCCCCACCCCAGTTGTGGGCTTTAGATGTCCCTCATTCCAAGTTCCTCTTTGCTTCTCTTAAGACTGTTCCTGTCCCTTTCTGAGATCATCTCATTCTACAAGAGAGGGTCTAAAACTAGTAAAACACAAAAGGCAAGGAATTCATGGGAGACTTAATGTTATGTTCCCGGGTGCCTCTGTGTATTTGCCTGACCCTCTCAATAGTCATTGTTTCAATACATCAAAGGCTGTTTGGCTTTGCACAGTCATTAAACCACCAAAATGTTCCAGTTACATCCTTCAACTTGGGGTTGTGCCTGACTTTTTGTCTCCTATTTAGAATTTAAGAGGGGCCTTTTGATGGACTTTTCCTTGTTTAAAAGTTACTAAATTGCTTTTTCAAAGAAGCACCTAGAAGTTTCTTAAAGTTCTGCCTACACAGTCCTTGGCTGCATAGCCCAGACTCATCTCCGAACAAATTAAGAGTTTTTAAAAAGTCACGAAGAAAAAAAAAAAAAAAAAGCCCAATAGAAACATGGGTTCCAAAAACATAAAGGGATCTATCAGAGAAAGAAATAGACACATAGAAAGATGTTCAATCTAACAAAAGTCTAACTCATAAGTAAATAAATGCAAATTAGAACATTGATGCCTACCTTTAAAAATTTTTTCCTTTCATATTGGCAAAGATTATAGTTCTGGTAAAAATGTAAGAAAGCCATTTTCATAAGCAGCTGATAAGAGTAGAAATTTGGCAATATTCATTAATATTATACATGCTCTTAACTTTGGTTCCATCAATTCCATGTCTGTGAATTTTCTAACTCACAAGAAGGTACAAAAACATATGAACAATACACTGTCGATTCTCTTCTTACCTATTCATCTCAATTCAGATTCCGGTCTCTCTGCTTTTACTGTTCATTTCCTTTTGTGCTGTATCCTCCTCTCTTATCTTAATAAGCTCTTGAGCAGTCTTTATGTTAACACTCCTCCCGATTAAACCCAACCCCAACCCCTATTTCCCACCTACAGGCTCCCAGTTAGCCTGGCTCCACATCACAGATAGAAACTAGAGACATTTCTTGATCATATGCATCAGAAAATTTTAATTGGTAGATCCCTGTTTAACCACAACTTGGTTCTTCATAGTTAGTTCCAAAATGGTGGTAGGTAGATTTTATATATTTTATGAATTTATGATAGCTTTGAAAAATAATCATGCCAGGTTCCTTCTTC